CAGGCTCCTTTTTGACCTGGATTTGGCCGTATTCACACTACGTCAGATCATAGAACACAGACACACGTTCCGACGCCCCACACTGGCAGTATTTCTCGACATTAAAGCAGCATTTGACTCTGTTGATTGTGAGGTCCTGTGGCAGTGTCTGTCAATAAAAGGTGTGCCAAAGTATGACATTGACCATATACATTCTCTCTACTTAAACATAACTGATCGAGTGAGAGCTTACGGTGAACTGTAATCAGAATTCTTTACTTCAAGTGGTGTCCGTTAAGGTCGTCCACTCTCTCCGTCTCTATTCAACTTTGTTGTTGACGTGCATTTAGAGACGAAACTTGCATCCTCTGACTTCAGGAGTTGACCTACAAGGAGATTTGTTTATTTACCAAGAATATGCTGATGACATAGTTCTATTAGGTGAAGAAACTGGCTAAAAGGAGAGTCTTCTGACTGTTAACGTCGGATTGCAAAATGCTGCTTCAGGATTGACTTACGTCGGTACCACCCTCCTTGTCACCAGCGAGTGAGGCAGTTGAGTGTGTCGAACGCTTTACTTATCTGGGGAGTCTCATCAGTGCTGATGGCCTGGTGAATGACTTAAATCTGAGCACGGATACGGAACTCTTTTGCCAACTAGTGTCACCTATGGCGTAGACAGGATATCACTTTGCTAACCAAAGGATGAGTGTACGGCGTAGCAGCTCGCTCCATCCTACTTTATGGCTATGAAACATGGTCTGTCAGAGTAGAACATATTTGTAGGTTGATTGTTTTCGATCGTAGGTGTATCCGAAGCATTGCTTATATATCATGGGACGACCGAATAAGCAACGCTGTAGTTAGGATACGAGTACTAGGTAAATATGGCAAATCAGTGGATGAAGGTTTGAAACTTCGTTCCGCGTAACGATAGTAATCGATGGTTAGAGACCTTGAACGACATGGCTCATGGACTTTCGCAGTGGAGCTGGTTCATCCACTCTTCGAGTTCCTTGAAATTCTGATCTCCTGATTTCCTCGTCACAAATATTTTTCGGTTTGTTAACTTACTTTACAGAATTTTACTCTTTGAATAATTTCTACAACTATCTGTTTCCAATTCTCGAGATAATGTGTTCTTTGGTCTACAGGATTCTCAGTAAATTCTTGATCTTCAGGTAGGTTCGAGATTAATGCAATGTGTCCTATCCACCCGCAGCGTTTCTTACCATTTTTTTACACACCTAGAAGCTTGGGCTTGGATACTGTGAATGCGATGTATTGATTCAAAGGTATGATCACTCATATCCTTCTTTTTCCGTATTAGAACACTAATTGTACATCTGAACTTACGTAGCATTGTGAAGCCAAGTCACTAGTAAGATAACAAATTGCCAATTAGTCGTATGAATAGAGGAGCTTCAAAAGAACTGGATTGTTAGTAATAATGTTAATTTACAGAATATAATAATGAAGCACAGTGCTCTGATACTTTTGTTATATTTTATTTATACTTTTCATTTTTAACTCTGTAGCTCAAAAAGTCTCAAGTGAGCTCTTTACTACCACAATTTTCCAGATCTGCTTGTAATAGGACTTCTCAGTAGAAGTGAGACCAGTTCATGGTTACGAACATGAGTCGTAGACGTGCTTAACACAGAAAAGTAACATCAGTATTAACGATTAGTTGCATCCTGCTATATCTTAAGGAGAAGTGAACAAACAAAATGTTCCTACCCACCGACATTTGTACGTTGAGATTATCACACCACCATCATGAATGCTGATCAGATAAACCACCCTCCATGCTTTGTGATGTTAGGCTCTCTGTCATTTAGTGGGATATTTTAAACGATGTTTTTCAGTCTGAGCTTCACATTTTGTGCACCTCGTCGGAATACACTTTCTCTAGTAGCTACAAGTTTCTTGTAAAGCAGACAACTTTGGCTTCTGTATGTTGGACTAAATATCAGCGTAGTATATCACACTGCTATCAGGTTAACTAATGGTATAAATTGTAAGACATAAGTCAGTTACTAAGTAGTTCGAAGATAGGAAGTACAGGCAGCTGACTAAAGACGATAAAAAAAATAATGTTGAAATATTCTTGAGTAAGGCGGTAACTAGGTACGAAATCAAGGTGTTTTGATGGTAATGCATTGAGGAAATACAAATTTATCAAAATTTTAATACGTGAACAAGAAGGAATTAGCAATGGTACAGGAAGTTTGAGTTTCTTGTAGGTGTCAGCAACTGAGCAGTATCTACATGCCTTTCAGTTTATCTGCCTACTAGAAATAAAAACTGTGAAAGATAGGAAAATAATCATTTAAAGTAAGCTCCGAGGGTCACGAGTAGCACCTTGAAGGCTTAACCTTCTGCTGTCAGAAGGAGTAAGGTATTGGTCTATCATTTCCGGATACCTGTGTGGGTGGTGATGCGTGTGCAATATATTCAAACCTGTATAATTAGCATGATGGTATAAATTGTATATTTATCAAAAAATGCTTCTCTTGTAAGAATGTTGCCTTTGTTTTGCCAACTTATGCCTTCATATCCATATCACGTTATCCTTGTCCATCAATGACGACACTTCGGCAAGAAAATTACCTATGTATCCCTCGGTTTAGTCTTCAAACATGACTTCTTAGGTTCTCACTTCTGTGTGGTAAATGATCCTGCTCTCGTTCTTGTGAATGAATAAACCTTCTGAATTGGAAGCCACTGCTACACTGGCTGACACACCACCGAAAAAGTTTTAGGAATCTACGAAATGTAAAACTACTATTATGGTGAATATTGACCTCGCTGTTTGATATAGCCAGTGGATCTTGCAATACTGGAACATAGTGGGTAACGTTTTGAACCAAATATGGTAACAAACTGATCTAAACTGCATGCCTCTTGTAACAGGGTTATTTAAGAACAAATAATCAATACTACCCACTTCTTACGGCATCTAGAAATCAAGAGAAATAAATCAGTAAGTTAAAACCATCCACTTCCGTCAGACCTATTCGCTTCAGTACATGCTTCTTCGGGAATGTGGAAAATTTTCTTTTTTATTTGACTGCTAATATAAGTGGAATGCATCGGCCAGTACTCGATTTGACACTTTTTAGATCAGAATGCATCTCAACATTGCTATGTAGTCAGTCATTGCAGTTCGGTATGATAGTGACAATTTTTTCATGGACGTTCGTTGTCTCTGGTAATATTCCGATGAAATTGTTTCTTGAATTTGTTGACTAATTCTGTATAATCAGTAAAACTGGTGCTAGGCAATGATTCCCATCTGACTGACCGTTTGCCAGCAATCCATTATGCCTTGACTCAATCGGTATATTTTTAATCTCAATTTTCAACTGCCCGTGAACGTTCGATCATCCGACAATAATCTAAACACTTACTTTGAAACTTTTTGAAGGAATGGAATCTGCATTGCAGCCTAGGAGATCCACTTGCATTAATTCTGGCAATGGTTTGTGAGTTATCGATAAATAAAGTGAACGGTAATGGTCGACAATGGCGATAGTTATCTTAATACAAGCAGTTAGTATGCGACTGCTCAACTTGTGCAAGATAACTGATATTCTCAGTGGTTAACCTCATTTCGGTCATAATATAATAACCATTTGATAAACCAGTCAAAAAATTTTTATATATCGTTGATTAGAATGTAGGAGTCGTGGTGATATCTGGATTGAAAGCGGTGATCTATCGTCCTCATCGATTTATTCAAAAGGTGAATAATTAAAGTTACCCGATTGGTTTATAATATGCTACTTGAAAAATGACTGGATGCAGACTGTGGTGATACACATCTTGTTTTCTTGGATTATGACCCCCTAGAGTTAGGTAACATCAAACTTCACTGGTAATTCGTGTCACATTGTAATGTTTCGAGTAAACATTGACTAATATCACCACTATAGACCAATTACGTGCGCGTCACAGAGAAAAAGAGTTGATTTATTCAAAAGAATATTGTTGCTGATGGTTTCGTGGTACCGAAAGAATACTTAAATCGTGCGAAATTACTGAAACAGTGAAGCTAAAACGGCAGCAATGCAAACGGAAATTTCGCGCGTACTGAGTAAAAATGAACAAAAAGTTTAAGTAAAACCATTACTGGTACATTTGGTTATAGCTATATATATGTCTATTAGACCAATCACGCTCTGTTGATAAACTAGATTCACTTCACTGTCATGGTAAACAGATAAACTGGTGACCTTGATAGCTGACGAGAATAAACGCGGATAGAACGCGATAGAACGTGACCACAAAATATATTGGAACTGATGGGAACTAAAACTATTTTCGCCTATTAAGCGCGTGAAGCCAATTCGTTCGCATTATCCACCTTTGAAATAGATAAAAATCCAAAGTGTCCAACACTCAGTTTTCTGTCATCTAGCTCAGAAATGATTAGATCTAAATAGTGATTTGCCTGAAGCTCCTTGAATTTTCAGAGACCCTATTCATTGACCTAAAGAATAATTACAACTACAGCTTCAAGGAGTTCGGTATTCTCATACAGTTGTACAGAACAATTTGGTGGCAGAATGTTCACGAATAGACTACATGGTACTTCAAAATACAGTAGTCAAGAGGGTAGTCAGTTATTAATTTTTTTTTCGAAACCATGTGTTAGAACGCCAATAGAAACCTGGAAGCACTGGACGGCGGTTTCGTCCTAGTATGGGACTCCTCAGCAGTGCGCATCCACGACTCCTGTACACCGTATTGCAAATTATTTATTCCATTGGTATTTCACCGGCCTAACGTTCTGAACAATGCGTACAGCGCAAAAACCATGTAATCTGCTTACGGCACTGACGAATATAATTTTTAAATCTTCTCACACTAAAGTAGGCATTATTGAGGCACTGACAATTTTTTATTCAACCAGGTCAAAGATCTGGACACAGTACGAGATAATTCACTCATCCTTTATTTTATTATGTGAAAATTGTTACTTTGTTTATTAAATTTCTTAAATCGATATCGAGTGAGTAGAAATGCTTATACTCACATGATTATATCTAATTGCAGACACTTTAAATGAACTGTCTGTTTACGCGGCCCCTATGAAAGAGTTTGCACATGGACTTGTTTAAGACATATACTAAGAAGATCCTGGATTCATGGACAGCTTTGAGACTTGGTCTAAATGAAGAGTCTGGAGGCCCAAATACCCAGCAAAAAGTGGGATTACTATATGAACATTTACCCCAGGTCGTCTCGAAGTTTAAACACGAGGACGAAATAACTGACTTTTTGGAAGATTATTTAGATGATGAATTAAATATTATTTGTGAAGACAACTCTCACGAAGAAGTCGCACAATTGATATACGAGGGACTCGTCCTTTTTAGAAATAAAAACACAACCGAACTTCAGGATAAAATAAACAAACTGACTGCTGGTTGTAATCTTAGTCAATGTCAATCCCAAGTCCATCCTGCTGATGAAGACGACTTGACCTGCAGTGAATCAGAATCGAAAAGTGAGGAAGATATTGACATGGATTAAGAGGTTTCTTCTAATCATGTATAATACCTCCGTGTACATATTAGTTTACTTTGATTTTGTAATATTGCAGTTTCTTTTCTTTTATCTGTTTACTTTCGATAGATACTAGGTTCAGGTTTTCATATGTTTGTAAAGTAGTTTTACACGTTTGTTTGTTAAGTAGCCTTTTCGTGATATGAGCACTATGCATACGTCCAAGTACGAAGGAAAGTAAATAGAGGGACTTCTACTGTTTAGTTAAACATTTTCAGGCTTGGATCGCGCCAATATTAGGTTGTGTAATCAATGAGTTCTAGTAAGAGAATTCTACTGATCATGCAACACGCCATTCCTTCCACTGCTGTTTACATTAGGTGAATCAATTATATGTTTGTACATCAGGATCATTTGGTATCTCCGACTTATTGCCACAGCTCACAGTAGCTAACCATTACGATTTTATCGACGTATATTTTTACGCAGATTCCCCTTGTCTTCCGTGAGATCCTAGCTACCTCCGCAGTATCATTTTTTTACAACGAATAGGTTGGTTTATCCTATTTCCGAACAAGAATTCACAGTTCCAGGCGATTAGTTATTTCCACCCAATATGAGCGATTCTTCGGAAATAATTGCGACTAAATACCAGCAAAGACCATGTTTCATGAGCTTATCAAACTGCTCTGCAATATTACCGTACAGAGATGAATATTTACGTTGCGCGTTTACAAAACTCAAACAAGCGTCCATACACAACTACGGAGTTCCTCGGCTAGTAGTTCATGACCCTCTACAGAGCTCGTAAGACAAGTCAAATAGTCATTTATAAAGTAGAAATTCGTACGCACGTGCATCAATCCGAGCTGCTATATCACATTAGCTCAGAGAAGCATTTGTCAATTCAGATCCCAGTGGTAGTTGTAGTAGAAGTATTAGCGATAGTGGAGATCAGGGTTCGGAGGAATTATTCAAGTATAATTCAATGAATTAGATACGTGAAACAACCGACGCTCTTAACCAATCAGCTTCACATTGAAAGTAAATAACAATTAGTCCTATAACAACACTCCGTATATGAAGAGGTAGGAATATTCAGGACGTTTTTGTATTGTCAATAAATACATTAGAAAGTATGTCGTTTATAGTACCTCCACAAAGTAGCTTTATAGAGCTTAAGTCTAAATGTTAACACTGTGACCACCAGTAACCAAGTGTGAGGCTAAATTGACTGGAGACAAGAATTGTGATATAGACCAGCTTCAGTCAAGGCGTCCCATATAACTCATTGTCATTATGGTTGCCTTTCAGTAGTTGAACAGTCAAGTCCTCTAGGATTGCCAATTGAAGGTGTGCCTGAGGATTCTATCAACATTCCGTAGGCCCTGTGTACAAACACATCAGGCAGACTGATGGCATATAACCCTCTCCTTCCATTGTTCAGGGTCAGGCAGCGTTGCCTAATCTCGCCATTATTCAATTGTGCCATCGATGGCGTTCTGGAAACTGCTGCGATGAATGTAGGTTATAGTTGTGTGGATCTGTTACCTGGAGAAAGAAGTACATCAGTTCAAGTTGCCATGCCACATGAGCACAAAGGCAGAGGATTGCTAGATCAAATTGTATAATAATAAAGATTGTAGCAGTATTAACGTTCATGGAAGGGCTAGGATTTGAAGATATTACTCGAGAAGCATATCCCATTGAAGTAAATCTAAAGAGAAAAAGTCATGGGGTATTAAGAAGATTAGAACTTGAGAGAAGACAAAGGAAGGAATTGTAGCCAGACTATTCAGTCTCTAACCTACACCTACTATCCTTGCTCAGTCCAGTTGTTAGTGACTTCATGGATTTGTGCCATCATTGGGTTCTTTAATTTGACAAAGTAAGGTCAAACGATCGACTGTACTCGGATCTTGTATACGCGTTTCGGAGAAGCATCCTACCTCAAAGGAGAGATCGGCAATAACGTTTCATGTACTAAAGTCATTAGCATTAACCGCGCAAGGTGATAGAGGTTTACAAGAAGGGTTGTACGTGGGGACAACAGAGTTACTAATAGGTACAGGAAGGATTTGATTGTGACGAAGTTGATCTTGTGTGATGTTAGGGGTATGGGGTGGGTGTCGCCTCCTAGTTGCCCACACAGTGGAAGAATATTTCTTGAGGAATCTGGAAGGGAAGTCTGGTTATAGGTGGTCTTAGCGATTAGGGAGCGTGACCGCAGAGCACAAGGATAACTCCTTGATACCAGTCAGGTACGGCTGTGCATGGGAAGATTTAGCATGTTAGCCGAGCTTTACAAAAGGCCCTTACTTCCAGAGACGGAAACCCATGACTGAAGGTGAGGTGTAACATTTTTAGACTTGACCTTTTCCAACCCTTGCTTCCTTGTGAGACGGCAGCATCGCTGCAGATGTTTGTCCGAAAGAAACACCTTACTGCTGTCACACCCGTCTACAGTCTTAGTAGTAGGACTTTGCCGTCAGACCTTAAGTTTCTTCTCTTATTCTTAAGTCGACCTGCCGTGCATGGTAGGACCTAAAGGAGCACGTGTTATTGCTAACAGAGCTCGGCTGAGTCTTCACGACAGGGTAACAGCTACGGTCGGGACGATAAAAAACAACAGCATTTTATCCTGTGCAACCTATTTGTGACTATCCTATGATTTGCTGCTATGCTCTTACTAAATATTAAGGTGAACCTATGTATGAATGTTCTGTATGCACCCACCAGGAGTTTGTCATCCTATACCATTTGTTACTGGAAGTTTATGTACGACAATCACCGTACAACATATCGTGACACCTCGGTAACTACAACTGTAATCAAAGATCATTTACATTATATTAAGTGTGATTCAACTTTTCCACTATATACAGGTTTATGCACTCAGTTATGAGGTATATCATCTATGCGAGAGGAACTGGTGTTTCCCTAACTTTAGTAGGTGAGGTAGAGTTCGGACAAGCGACTTGACATTTGAAATTCAAGTTTTGTAATCAACTAGACAAAAGTAAATATGAATCAACTGCCTAAAAAGTTGTATTTTTAGTAGCTAAAGAAGTCTAAAATACTTGTTGCTTATCTACAAAACCGAGATGTCTGTATCCAGCAGAACACAAATTAGAAAGCATTTTAAATTACTAAGCGAAAACTTGATGCATTTATTAAAAAAACTAATTTATTATCTATGTACAAGTATACAATCCACAAAAGAGAATTATTTCGCCATTTAAACATGATCACGTGCTAATTCCAAGTAGTAATTAAGCGAAACATTAGGTTCAGAAAATTTTTCAAGGTCCAAGAAGTCCAAGTTTCCATGTAATGGAATAGATGGACGATTATCCGTTAGTTGAAAGAAATTCCTTATTGACTGTCGTAATGCTTCCTCTTCTGCAATTAATACTGTTTCACCAGGAGCTTTGTAGATTAAAATAAAAGTAGGCAAATGATTATTATCAAACAATCCAAGGTACTAACTTATCAGTACTTCAAACTTTTAAGGTGTTTTCCTTCTCCTTAACTATATGCAAAATGAAAAGTTATCCAAAATTTACTGAGTTCATCTAATAATAAGTTTCATGCGCTACTTTTGATGATAATTACATACATTAACCATAACAGTATGTCCATAACACCAGACATACATTGAAAAAAACCAAATCAGTTGTTGCTTAAGTTGTAATATACATAAATCATATAATTCAAAACTGGTTTTAACAGCATACTGTGTGCTGTTTACCCTTGTTATATTTGACTAATTACCATAATTTCGTGGTTGATATAAATCATTTATGAAGTAAAAATAACTTCAAGGCATTTTGTTTGTAAGAAATAGTGATAATGTAAAACTAATCGCCCAAATCATAATAAACGAAACAATTTATGTTTAGGACCTATCAGTTTAATGTCGAATAACTTCCTCGTGACTCTTAAACACTGAACGTACATTTATTAACAGTTTTCAAAACATCAGTTGACAGGTTTCTAAAATTAACACTATAACAACTTAGGTTTACCTTTTGATATTATCCTTAATCAATCTTAGTACAATTAACACCATGTGCAACCTATTATTGGCTTTTTTCGTCTAAAGCTCTTCGTATATTCAGAATAGAGCTCAGTTTAGAGTTACATCGCAAACTCGATATCCTGTGACGATAGATGACTATCAACATTTTTAATAAATATCACTGTTTAACCGAGTTATCCAGTCAAGTGATCAAGATGTATGCTTCGCTACTATTTGATGTTATACCAATTTTCGCAAAAACTGATAACCAATCTCAAACATATTCCTTTTAATTTTAGCCACATAAGTAACTCAACAAATAAATCCATGGGCGGAGATGTTGTAGTTTTAATCAGTATACCTTAATAGCTAACTGATGAATTTCCCATACCGTGTCATAAAAATAGCTTCGAGTCTCAAATAACTACTATATGCTGAATTCTTAATATTTTGTTATCCTTTATGATATGAGTTATTAAACAATCGTTTAGCAATTCAAATATAGAATAAATATAGTTGATAACATCATAAATCTTCATGCATATGTTAGACATTGAGAATATGCTGTTTACCTTCTCCGACAAGTTGACGATCACTATATATACCAACTTCGAAACAGGCTAGCACAGTATTCATACTTGATTGATAAAGTAATCTGTAAGGAGAAGTGACTAAATAAATTAATCATATGCTAGTATTGTGTCTACATACGATTCCAAATATGTCATGAATCAAAACTATATCTGACTAATCCTCTTAATGTGCTTCTATACTTGCAAAGACTTATTTTCATACAAAAATAACTGCGATTTCTTTTTTTGCAAGAGTTGACATTGTGACTGACCAACAAAATATGCTCCTGATATAACGGAGGAATTGTAATTTTTTTTGGTATACTACGATAAAAAGGTAAATAGACTGGACTGGATAACTAGGTTCATACTACTGCCAGATTGTATGTTCGAACAACACACTATACACAGACAAGAGATCATGTTATATCAGATACCTGATTAACGATCACAGATAGAGTACCAGAGTTATGCTAGACAATGCTTTATTTCACAAAAGTACAAGCAGTTTACACTCAATAAGTTTGGAGTAGAATCTAATGAGGTAAAGAAATCACAAACTGAATAGTCAGTAAGCTGAATGCTTGTGTGTTTAAACTCAGTTACCAATCACTTTTACACTCACGACCACACATCAGTTTCAAATAAAAAGAATTACGTTGTGATATTCAAAGTATATTCTTGAATTCATTTATATTGAACTCTAAACACCAAAACAATTAGTTTATCATCTTGAATTAGAAAGTATGTATGAATAGGATTTTATTTTATTAGTCTGACTTAGAATCGGTCCACAATGATTTTGATGTAGTCAGTTTTTTGTGAAAATTATTTCACACTAGATCTTGAAAATCAATAAAATGCCATTTTCTTTTATCAGTTTATTTCATTCCTTCCTTTTTGAATCATATTCTTGATGCTTAGTTTTTCTGCCTACCATTATTAGTACAACTATGGTTTTATTTTGATTATTAACTTAGATATTTTCATTCTGTTGTTAATTGAATTTTACAGTGTTAATACGATGTGATAGAGTTAGCTGATGAATATTTATGTCAGATTTTGTGTTGATTCTTACTCACTATTTGTTTGTTAAATGAAGGTGAAAACTTTATCAAAAGTTTATTTGATTTAAATTAATGTAACCAAATTACCTGGTTTCAGGTGGACCACGTCCTTCCGATTTAAGTATACCTTGTAGAAGAGGTAATGGGTCAGGAATTGAAATCAATTCGGTCAAATCTATATCTGAAAGTCTTGCTAATATAAAGTCCCGAATAAATAAATGTGCTCTCTCCATCTAATTCATGAAAATAAAAGTTATTAAAAAGTGTTTTAAGTAAACGTATCTGATGGGTTATAATATACTGTAATTATTAATCGAAAAAATACAAACCAATTACTGAAACTGAAATCTCTCGATATTGGTAAACATCGAATGCGAAGTTGCTTGTTAAGTCATGCAGTTTTGGCAGTTAGATTAAATTGTTTAGATGTTTGCTATATTAGTTTATCAAGACATTTTAGAAATCAATGAAACTGATTGCTAAGTGATGGTTTATTAAGAGATATGACTGATTACCTAAATACGTATTTAAAACTATTACAATCCATTAGAGAGAGGAAGATGGATTCCTGCCAGATATATATTAAAAGACAGTAATTTTTCTATTAACGTTTGATAAAAATGTTATTCTCTAGCATAATCATCTAGTTCGAAGTTGACAATTGGAGTACTAGCAATAAAGTATATTTAAACTTTTAACCATCTGGAGTAAGTTTAAAATTTTTGAATATACAAATATATATCTGTGATAAGTAAATAACATAAACCTAAATCTGTTTTTGTTGATTAACTTATAATTATTATCAGATTTTATCATTCAGTAAAAGTCCAAAACATTCTACACATATAATGCTCTATAAACTTGGCTTCTAACCAGTAAATTAATGGACACAAAACGGAATATTATACACAGATGTACCGGTTCAAAATTACAAAAACAACACGGAAGTGGTAAAATAATCAAGATCCACTTGACTGAACGATTGATATATAAGGCTTTTATATATGGGATGTTCAAAAATCTAATTATATACGATTAATGAATTAGATATAACCTATACATCTTTACCGGTACACCAATTAAAAGCTCATCTCTAATTTAATTCTACTTCAGTCAGTATCACACGTCATAGTAGAGGCTGTGAGTTGGTTAGAAATAAACCTGCCGCATGCATTAAACGAAGTCCACGATCTTAACAATTGATTTACCTTATGTACTGAAAGTTGTAAGCCTAAACTATATAATTTAAACGATACAATAGCTACATTTTATATATATGTATATACTGGCTTGTTTTTGTTATCAGTCATTCAAATAAATGAAAAAAATAATAAAAATTTTATCACTAATTCAAGTTTTAATAATATCCTTATCAAATTAAGTACATATACACATCAATCATAATCAGAGTAAATGAGGCACGTTAAATTGAACAAATTCTACCTTATCTTTTGCTAAAGCACCAACTAAAGCCATAAATGCATGAGTTAAAACATCCAAATTCGGTGGAGCTGATATAATTTTATTGCTAGAATGGTCAATTTGATCACTGTAAAGTACTATATCTTTAATTCCTAAATGAGCAGCTATAAAAGCAAGTTCAGAAGTTGATTTTAAATACTGAACGATAGTCATAATCCACTCTTCAGGGAATCGACGATACACTGATCGCAAGAAGGTACATAAAAAATTTTCCGTAACAGAAAAGCCTATAAAGTAGATAAAATAGACACAAAGTATACAATACATTTGTTAATGTTTATGAATTCTATTGGATATTTAACAGTAACTATTACACAATGACATATTCAATATGAGGTAGATGAATGTATATTGGAAAAGACGGTGGTCAGTAAACGTTATGCAATCATCTACATCAGCTGATGTTTCACAGTTCTTAATCTGATTTCCTACGTATAGCTTCAGAATTATACGCACGGTAGTCTTGATAAAAATGAACAATAGTTCAAAGATATTTATGACTAGAAATCTACTATCAAAGGTCGTGTTCCCAACTATGCATTTGCCAAACAAGAAGATAATCTATTGTCATACTGGATTTTAGGTTCTCCAAAAACCATCTCAGGCACTTTACAGTCTAAATATAACATTCTGCATTTGTTTCATGAGTAACGTTTTGGCAAAAGATACAATTTTTCATATAAACAAAATGCAGAATGTTATATTTAGACTGTAAAGTGCCTGAGATGGTTTTTGGAGAACCTAAAATCCAGTATGACAATAGATTATCTTCTTGTTTGGCAAATGCATAGTTGGGAACACGACCTTTGATAGTAGATTTCTAGTCATAAATATCTTTGAACTATTGTTCATTTTTATCAAGACTACCGTGCGTATAATTCTGAAGCTATACGTAGGAAATCAGATTAAGACTGTGAAACATCAGCTGATGTAGATGATTGCATAACGTTTACTGACCACCGTCTTCTCCAATATACATTCATCTACCTCATATTGAATATGTCATTGTGTAATAGTTACTGTTAAATATCCAATAGAATTCATAAACATTAACAAATGTATTGTATACTTTGTGTCTATTTTATCTACTTTATAGGCTTTTCTGTTACGGGAAAATTTTTTATGTACCTTCTTGCGATCAGTGTATCGTCGATTCCCTGAAGAGTGGATTATGACTATCGTTCAGTATTTAAAATCAACTTCTGAACTTGCTTTTATAGCTGCTCATTTAGGAATTAAAGATATAGTACTTTACAGTGATCAAATTGACCATTCTAGCAATAAAATTATATCAGCTCCACCGAATTTGGATGTTTTAACTCATGCATTTATGGCTTTAGTTGGTGCTTTAGCAAAAGATAAGGTAGAATTTGTTCAATTTAACGTGCCTCATTTACTCTGATTATCTTTGATATGTATCTGTACTTAATTTGATAAGGATATTATTAAAACTTGAATTAGTGATAAAATTTTTATTATTTTTTTCATTTATTTGAATGACTGATAACAAAAACAAGCCAGTATATACATATATATAAAATGTAGCTATTGTATCGTTTAAATTATATAGTTTAGGCTTACAACTTTCAGTACATAAGGTAAATCAATTGTTAAGATCGTGGACTTCGTTTAATGCATGCGGCAGGTTTATTTCTAACCAACTCACAGCCTCTACTATGACGTGTGATACTGACTGAAGTAGAATTAAATTAGAGATGAGCTTTTAATTGGTGTACCGGTAAAGATGTATAGGTTATATCTAATTCATTAATCGTATATAATTAGATTTTTGAACATCCCATATATAAAAGCCTTATATATCAATCGTTCAGTCAAGTGGATCTTGATTATTTTACCACTTCCGTGTTGTTTTTGTAATTTTGAACCGGTACATCTGTGTATAATATTCCGTTTTGTGTCCATTAATTTACTGGTTAGAAGCCAAGTTTATAGAGCATTATATGTGTAGAATGTTTTGGACTTTTACTGAATGATAAAATCTGATAATAATTATAAGTTAATCAACAAAAACAGATTTAGGTTTATGTTAATTGCTTATCACAGATACATATTTGTATATTCAAAAATTTTAAATTTACTCCAGATGGTTAAGAGTTTAAATATACTTTATTGCTAGTACTCCATTTGTCAACTTCGAACTAGATGATTGTGCTAGAGAATAACATTTTTATCAAACGTTAATAGAAAAATTACTGTCTTTTAATATATATTTGACAGGAATCCATTTTTCTCTCTCTCTAATTGATTTTATTAGTTTTAAATACGTATTTAGGTAATAAGTCATATCTCTTAATAAATCATCACTTAGCAATCAGTTTCATTGATTTCTAAAATGTCTTGATAAACTAATATAGCAAACATCTAAACAATTTAATCTAACTGCCAAAACTGCATGACTTAACAAGCAACTTCGCATTCGATGTTTACCAATATCGAGAGATTTCAGTTTCAGTAATTGGTTTGTATTTTTTCGATTAATAATTACAGTATATTATAATCCATCAGATACGTTTACTTAAAACACTTTTTAATAACTTTTATTTTCATGAATTAGATGGAGAGAGCACATTTATTTATTCGGGACTTTATATTAGCAAGACTTTCAGATATAGATTTAACCGAATTGATTTCAATTCCTGAGCCATTACCTCTTCTACAGGGTATACTTAAATCAGAAGGACGTGGTCCACCTGAAACCAGGTAATTTGGTTACATTAATTTAAATCAAATAAACTTTTGGTAAAGTTTTCTCTTTCATTTAAAAAACAAATAGCGAGTAACAATCAACACAAAATCTGACATAAATATTCATCAGCTAAATCTGTTACATCGTATTAACACTGTAAAATTCAATTAACAACAGAATGAAAATATCTAAATTAGTAATCAAAATAAAACATAGTTGTACTAATAATGGTAGGCAGAAAAACTAAGCATCAAGAATATGATTCAAAAAGGAAGGAATGAAATAAAGTGATAAAAAAATGGCATTTTATTGATTTTCAAGATCTAGTGTGAAATAATATTCACAAAAAACTGACTACATCAAAATCATTGTGGACTGATTCTAAGTCAGACTAATAAAATAAAATCCTATTCATACATACTTTCTAATTCAAGATGATAAACTAATTGTTTTGGTGTTTAGAGTTCAATATAAATGAATTCAAGAATATACTTTGAATATCACAACGTAATTTCTTTTTATTTGAAACTGATGTGTGGTCGTGAGTGTAAAAGTGATTGGTAACTGAGTTTAGAGACACAAGCATTCAGTTTACTGACTATTCAGTTTGTGATTTCTTTAACCTCATTAGATTCTACTCCAAACTTACTGAGTGTAAACTGCTTGTACTTTTGTGAAATAAGGCATCGTCTAGCATTACTCTGGTACTTTATCTGTAATCGTTAATCAGGTATCTGATATAACATGATCTCTTGTCTGTGTATAGTGTGTTGTTCGAACATACAATCTGGCAGTAGTATAAACCTAGTTATCTAGTCCAGTCTATTTACCTTTTTATCGTAGTATACCAAAAAAAATATTAAAATTCCTCCGTTATATCAGGAACATATTTTGTTGGTCAGTCACAATGTCAACTCTTGCAAAAAAAGAAATCCTAGTTATTTTTGTATGAAAATAAGTCTTTACAAGTATAGAAGCACATTAAGGGGATTAGTCAGATATAGTTTTGATTCATGACATATTTGGAATCGTATGTAGACACAATACTAGCATATGATTAATTTATTTAGTCACTTCTCCTTACAGATTACTTTATCAATCAAGTATGAATACTGTGCTAGCCTGTTTCGAAGTTGGTATATATAGTGATCGTCAACTTGTAGGAGAAGGTAAACAGCATATTCTCAATGTTTAACACATGCATGAAAATTTCTTATGTTATCAACTATATTTATTCTATATTTGAATTGCTAAACGATTGTTTAATAACTCCTATCATAACAGATAACAAAATATTAAGAATTCAGCATATAGTAGTTATTTGAAACTCTAAGCTATTTTTATGAGACGGTATGGGAAATTCATCAGTTAGCTATTAAGGTATACTGATTAAAACTACAACATCTTTGCCCATGGATTTATTTGTTGAGTTAATTATGTGGCTAAAATATGTTTGAGATTGGTTATCAGTTTTTGTGGAAATCGGGATAACATCAAATAGTAGCGAAGCATACATCTTGATCACTTAACTGGATAACTCGGTTAAACAGTGAGATTTATTAAAAATATTGATAGTCATCTATGGTCACAGGATATCGAGTTTGCGTTGTAACTGTAAAGTGAGCTCTATTCTGAATATACGAAGAGCTTTAGACGAAAAAAGCCAATAATAGGTTGCACATGGTGTTAATTGTACTAAGATTGATTAAGGATAATATCAAAAGGTAAACCTAAGTTGTTATAGTGTTAATTTTAGAAACCTGTCAACTGATGTTTTGAAAACTGTTAATAAATGTACGTTCAGTGTTTAAGAGTCACGAGGAAGTTATTCGACATTAAACTGATAGGTCCTAAACATAAATTGTTTCGTTTATTATGATTTGGGCGATTAGTTTTACATTATCACTATTTCTTACAAACAAAATGCCTTGAAGTTATTTTTACTTCATAAATGATTTATATCAACCACGAAATTATGGTAATTAGTCAAATATAACAAGGGTAAACAGCACACAGTATGCTGTTAAAACCAGTTTTGAATTATATAATTTATGTATATTACAACTTAAGCAACAACTGATTTGGTTTTTTTCAATGTATGTCTGGTGTTATCGACATACTGTTATGGTTAATGTATGTAATTATCATCAAAAGTAGCGCATGAAACTTATTATTAGATAACTTCAGTGAAATTTGGAAAACTTTTCATTTTGCATATGGTTATGGAGAAGGAAAACACCTTAAAAGTTTGAAGTACTGATAAGTTAGTACCTTGGATTGTTTGATAATAATCATTTGCCTACTTTTATTTTAATCTACAAAGCTCCTGGTGAAACAGTATTAATTGCAGAAGAGGAAGCATTACGACAGTCAATAAGGAATTTCTTTCAACTAACGGATAATCGTCCATCTATTCCATTACATGGAAACTTGGACTTCTTGGACCTTGAAAAATTTTCTGAACCTAATGTTTCGCTTAATTACTACTTGGAATTAGCACGTGATCATGTTTAAATGGCG